TTCTGGAGCGCCAAATACATGATGTGTGGGAAACTGAGATTTCAGAAAATGGAAATGAAATAAGTGAAGATATTTGTAAAGTAAAAATTCTTTGGCCATAAAGAAAAGAGGGGGGAAAAAAGGCAAATTGAATTTTCTCTTGAATTTGTGTTGGAAATTCAAAATAGAATATGTTACAAGGTTATTTTGTTCTGGTTTGGAAAACGTTTAAAAACCATTAACCTAAGTGGAAAGCAGTTTCTCCTTGAACTTTCTTCTGGCATGAGATACAGACATCTTTAAGGAAATGCTCCAGAATTCAGCTAAGAACCTCATTAAATGGATATATTAAATAGACTTTCATTTGAGCTGGACTGTTCTATAATTGTGACACATCCCTGTCCACATTATTTACATCTTCACGGCAGAATCAGGCTATCACTGTGCACTACCAACAGCAACTTAGAGTTAATTACTTTTGAGGACACTAATTTCCATCATATTAATTTCTAACTATGTCAAAATCTGAGGAATGGCTAATTGGGTATTCAAAGTAAGTATTCCGAAACATTTCAAACCCCAGTTTCACTGCTGCATTACTATGTGTCTTTGGACAACTTATTGAAAATCTCTGTGCCTCAGTTTTACCCTTTGTATTAAATGACAATACAGACAGCCTTCGGGACAGTATCTGGCACATAGTGATTGTTTTGTGCTTTAAAGTTTCCAAAAACCCGTTATATCCTCTCAGTTTGAAATCTTTGTCCCAACCTTGTGGGCAGATTAATTTTAAATGTCTTGCCCAAAGATGGAAGCCAGCATTCAGATCCAAGACTTCAGCTCATTCTGTATCCCAGCTCCACACTTACCCCGAGTTACTCTGCACTAGGTACCTAATCTCTCTGGACTTCAGTTTTGTCATTTGTAAATTATACCCTCCTTTATGAGAGTGTAGTAAGATTAAATAAAGCATTTTCATTTTTATAAAGAAATATATCTTTATTAATTTTGGAAGAGAGGAAGAGGGAGAGAGAGAGGGAGAGGGAGAGGGATAGAAACATCAATGATGAGAGAGAATCATCGATTGACTGCCTCTCACATGGCCCCTACAGACTCTCCCCTTACGCAGAAGAGTCTGGCAAGGAAAAGGTACTGGGTGACAGATTTTACACCTTTTACAACCAGCTGCAGGGCTGCTGGGTGGCATTGCCTGACCTGATGATCCCAGCTGGCCTCTCACATACAGATTATCTTCAGATCAGGTCTTTATTTTACCCTCAAGAATTCAACTTTTAGAGAACCAAGACAGGTAAACATCTGTACTTTGCTGCCTCTCACAACCATGTCAAAATTACAGCTAAAATACATAACAACTATCATCCAAAACTTCAGGAAAGCCGGCTGAGTGGCAGTACTACAACTAGAGAGCTGAAGAAGAAAGTGCATTGAGACTGGTCATAGGAGCAGAGGCATGCAATGTGCTGGCATCTGGGTGTTCCTCTTTTTCAATTGGGAGGGAGTTACAAGCTCCCACTTACTCTGAGCTTCAGTGCCTGGGGAGACTCTGGAGGGCCTAGACACACAGGGAGAAACTGGAGAGTCTGGCATCAGGGCAGGAACATGGGGACAGGTTTCTTTCAGACAGAGATGCTCACAACGGTCATTCTTCCTGTGCTGGAACCTCCCTGGTGAGAGCTGATTGGCAGCCATTGCTGTTTGCTCTGCCCTGGATAGATGGCACCCAGCACATTAGGCTGTGCCCCTGGGTGTCCAGAAAAAGGGAAGTTACAAGTTACCCAGACATTCCTCCGGGGATGTTATCATAGATGCAAAAAGACAAATAGGCTCATTTAAGGTAAAGGTCTGTAAAGATACCAGCCTAGGATATAACTACCCACCACAACTGCTTTTAGTTAAAGTTTAATTTCAGACCATCCTTTGTGGGTACTTTAAGTCTCTGAGTTTGCAAGACTGACACGCAGGCCTTCCCTGAGCTTGTAAGCTTAGCATGTGGCCCTTTTCATCCATAGGAGCTTGTTTAGAGGAGAACTTGGCTTCATAAAGCTGAAGGAAAACTGCCTCCAGACCAACTAGAAATTAGGTTTGACAGTACATCTCCCTGTACTCATTTCTTGTGTCCTAGGACACAGAACTTGAACCACTTACCACAAGAGGTTTGATATTAGTGTGTTACATCTATCAGCATTGACATATGGTATATATAGAAAGTGTACTTGTGCTAGGTACTGTGCTACATCCTATATAATAAAGAGGTAATATGCAAATTGACCATCACACCCTTGCACAAGATGGCTATCCCATGTGGTCACAAGATGGCCTCCACAAGATGGCCAGCAGGGGAGGGCAGTTGGGGGCAACCTGGCCAGCAGGGGAGAGCAGTTGAGGGCAACTAGGCCTGCAGGGGAGGGAGGACAGTTGGGAGTGACCAGGCCTGCAGGGAGGAAGTTGGGGGAACCAGGCCTGCAGGGGAGGGCAGTTGGGGGCAACCAGGCCTGCAGGGGAGGGCAGTTGGGGGTGGGGGGAGGACCCAGGCCTGCGGGGAAGGGAAGTTAGGGACAACCAAACCAGCAGGGAGAGCAGTTCGGGGGGAACAAGGCCTGCAGGAGAGAGGAGTGGGGGTAACCAGGCTAGCAGGGGAACAGTTAGGATTCGATCAGGCTGGCAGGGAAGTGGTTAGGGGGTGATCAGGCTGGCAGGCAGAATCAGTTAGAGGCAATCAGGCAGGCAGGCAAGCAAGCAGTTGGGAGCCAGCAGTCCCAGGTTGTGAGAGGGATGTCCGATTGCTGGTTTAGGCCAGATTCCTGAGGGATTTCTGTGGGATTGGGCCTAAATCATCAGTCAGACATCTCCTGAGGGGTCCTAGATTGAAGAGGATGCAGTCTGGGCTGAGGAACAACCCCTTTCCCCCACGTTACCCCCCCCCCCCCGTGCACGAATTTTGTGTACTGGGCCTCTAGTTTTATATATAAATCTCCCAATAACACTGGCAGGGATATTGTTATATCTATTATACACATGAAGAAACTGAAAGTTATAGCTACTCAATCACCTGTCGAAAGTCTCACAGCTTGTTTGAGGACTAGTGTAGAGTAAAATCCAAGTCTATCTGATTTAAGTTCTCATTCTTAATCCAAATATGCCTGAACATACAAATATACCTGGGGTGACATTTAAAAGTAGATTATCTGGTCTATACCCTAAGATCAGCTAAATCAGAGTCTCCAGAGAAGTGGCTAGATCATTTGTTTTTTTAAAAATAAGTACCCCAGGTGCTTGATATTAAAAAAAAACAAACAAACAAACAAACAAAAAAACAGCATCCATGAGTCTTTACCTGCAACCAACTACAGTGCTGGGGAGAGCTTACAGCATGCCAGTGCTCAGGTCCCAACCACATACAGTAGGTTCACCCCAGTCTGTCTTTCATAAAGCAGTTATGCCGTGCACTCCGGTTTCCCAGCTATAAAGTGGAGGAAGTAACAGCTGCCTCGCAGGTCTCAGGAGTGCTGTGAGCATGAAGTGAGGACACTAGTGGAGGTGTTTTGTACAGTGCTCAGTGAAGTATGCTTGTCAGAACCACTGAGAACCTTTCATCATCTGCTTAGTAGGCTTTTGTGAGTTGATCTGAGAATCTAATTATCTATTTAACAGGATTTTATGGGGAAATGTATTTCAGATTTCAAAATAATTCACCCAACAATTTTAGAATAATGTTGATTTCAACTTTTAGAGCTACCACTACTTAAAGTTTTATATTATAGGCCCAGAAATACTGAATACACCATGTGAAATCTTTTCCATGTGAATATTAAGTCTACAGTTGAATTGACTTTCTGGTCTCTTTGGTCTCCTTTAAAATTAGTCTTAATAGTGTTAAATGAAAAGTGTAGACTCTAAAATGGAAAATAATCGGTCTGATTCATCCAATATTTCTATGCTAAGCCAGTGGTCTTTACACATCCTAACTGTTACTCCCACTGGCTGAGGCTGAGAGAGACTATCTTGGTAGGGGTCACTTAGTGCATAACAATAGTAGATAGAAGATTCAAACAGAAATGTCAGACCCCAAAACACAAGGTCTTAATCGCCTCGCTATATAAGATCCTCCCCATGCACAGTTAGGAAGCAAGCACAAGAAAACTAGAGCAGTGGCTGTGTTCAAGGAGGATTGTGGTTAATTAGATTTTTTTAAGAGGAAATGAATTATTGGTATGAAAAGGTATGAAATTTAAAAATTGGTAGAAGAAAAAATTGAATTAAAAAAAATTTACTTGGATTTTATGATTAGATACCAAGACTGTTGCCCTAGCTGTTTGGTTCAGTGGATAGAAGGGACCCCAGTTCAATTCCAGTCAAGGGCAAATGCCTGGGTTGCAGGCTTGGTCCAATCTGCAGGAGGCAATCAGTCAGCGATTCCCTCTCATCATTGATGTTTCTATCTCTCTCTTCCTCTCTGAAATAAATAAAAATATATTTAATAAAAAAGATTTATTGCTGTAGGTTTTGGCTTTTATTGCTGTTCCTGATTCATTGTTGTGGTCTATTCCCAATGAACATAAAAGGTAGATAAAGAAGTTAGAGTGTCAAGAAGTCTACCCATGTCCTCGCTACCCTCACCAAGTTTAATACAAGTGCTGTCATTGTAGAGCAAAGTGGTTTTCTGGAAGTGGTGGTGACTTATTCAGAGCTCTCTTAAATCCCTCCCCCTATCTCCTTTTATATCAAGGGAGGGCTGGTCAGGCATGGCACCGCCAGCAAGGGTGCCATCCATCTGAAGGGTAAACTTGAAATTTTCTGTCTGTTTGCCCCATGCCCCTCACCACCAGCTGCTCACAGGATGAGAAATAATCACATTCAGGCCTTTCCTCAAGTTCCTTTTATAAGGACAGCCAGGTATAAAACCACATGCTGTTTATCACACTGAAAAAGCACATCCCAGCCCCTCGCCACCTTTAAAATGAGTTCCTTTCCTAAAACTGACTTTACTTCTTTTCTAACAGATATCTGCAAATGAAATTGAAATGCTTTTGATGAGGCTGCCTCGCATGTTTAAACAGGAATTCACAGGTGTGGGAGCAACGCTGGAGAAAAGGTGGAAGTTGTGTGCCTTTGAAGGAATTAAAACTACCTAACTATGGAAAAAACCTAGACACATGTCTGGAAACGAAGCTGCCTGCACTCGTCCAGGGCTGTGCAGTGAAGACAGGAGGTTGAGGTTGTCCAGGGCAGGACCTCGGCGGAGCCAGTTAGTTGTATCTGTGGCGTTCTCTTGTGAGTGGAAATGTAATTGTGTACCAGTTCCCTAAACAAACAGAGCTTCTACAGTGACAGGTCTGTGTCCTCTGCAAACCAAACAATAACTCCACAATCATAATGATGGCAAAATCTTAAAATATGCTACATTTGAGAATAGCTCACCAAACAAAATATTTAAAATTAATGATGGTGTAGCAATGGTTGTTGCTAGGCTACAGAGTTGTATATGTAATGTATAGCTAAAATCATTCAATGACATTTTCCTAAAAAATCTATGTTTCTGTTTTAGCAAAAAAAAAGGGAGGGGGGAGAGAGAAAAAAGTAATTTTACAGTGAGGAAAAATCATACCAAAAGAAAACTTGAATATGTGTCTGAACAGTTATTGTATTTTGTAAATTAAGTTATATGGTATTCCAGGGATTTTTGCCTTATTGAAGAGGCAGAAAATGTGATTGGACTCCTTGCTATGCTTTACCAAGAATATTATTTTTCTAATGTAACAATTCTCCATCATAAGTTCTTTTAACACGGACTGCATAACAATTTTCATAAAATGTAAATAAAGGAAAAACTAGTGCTACTGTCTTGTATTTGGTATGTAATATTCAGGTTTATGCATCAAAATAAACATTCAGTAAATATTCCTGTTACAAATTTTATAGCAAAGATATTAATTTTTTTCAATAAATATGACTTCTACCATTTTGGCTTTGCAAATTTTTCTTTGTTATATTTTAATTCTTCCTTAAGAAATTTTCATATTATTCAGCCCCATCTCATATCCCATCTTTTACAAATTGTTAAATGCACAAGTGACATTAAGAGACAAAACATTATTTAAAACAGTAATATATAAAAATTGTGAAGTGAGAAGTACTAAGAAAAGGAGATCATATAACATTACAGTAATTGTTTGAAAAAATAGCAAGAATAACATCCAAAGGAAATCAACATAAAATTTATCTTTGTTTTATGCATTATGGGCAGTTACAGAGTAACCAATTAATTAATCTTATTAATTCCTGGATTTATTTATTTGTATGTTTGCTGGAATACATACAAGTTACAACTTGGATCATTAATCTAAACAGAATTTGAACTTCTCCTTTTTCTTTTAATTACAAGTAAAATGGAGTTTTAAATTGCATCTCCTTTTTGCTTTCTTATATAAGAATAACCAAAAGAAAACTATTCAAGATTTATTAAATTAAGTAAAACATTTTTTAGGGAAATAGCTGACACTGAATGATCTTTGAAATTATAAAAAGAGGTTCATATTTTCTATTGGTTTATTGTCCTTGGGATCTTTTTATTGAGCCCTGCTTAATTAAGGTACTTTTTGTACCTCTCATAAATATCTACACATGTATTATGTTCAAGTTCAATGCTAATGCTGTGTATATGGAGATGAATAAGAAAGGACCCTCTTTTTAATGAGCACAGAGCTCAGTGAGGAAAAGACATTTCCCAGGAGTTCCTATATGTTGTGAGCCAGGTGACAGGAAATATGTGACAAGGGTATTATGGGATTCAAACTAAATGGTTATGTCATATCAAATGTTAAAGCAATATTCCATCTGTTGATGCTCACTTCCACCATCATCCTGGCACATTTATTTCTACATCAGGAGGCACAAAAAGGGATACAATTGTCAAAAAGATGACCTCATTTACAGATAATGTTATTATGTAAAATATAAAATCTAAGAGGGTCACCTGAAATATAATTAGAAGAAAAAACTAGTTAAGACATAAAGTCTGGAAGGGCCACAAGATACCACCATATAGACTATTTCTGATTGAAAGCATGGAAGATGGTTTCAAATTTACATTCATACTTTTGACTATGGCCCATTATCACTTTAGCAGAAGTATGCTCTGCACAGGGTAAAACCTTAACACAGAGCTCTGATTATGAAAAGAAATTGGAGGGACCTTATATTAGATTTGACAACAAGACACTATTTTTTAAACATGTGGTCCTGAGTATTTGTATTTATACTTAAAACTAATTATAGTAGTTATCTAGGAATATATTAATTATAAATTTTAACTTCAATTATGTGAATCACTTATTTTTGCAGGAAACAAATTCTAAATTCTTTCACAGGCATTGTGTTCAGCTGGTACTTTAGAAATTACCAAGGAAAGAGGTAGCTCTGGTATCTCTGAGGGTCATCTGAAGTCCATAGAAGTCTGTCACCCCATCCTCTCTAATCTTCCGAATAGCCCTATACAAAGTCACTACTATTTTCCCACAAGGAGAATGCGACTCAGAAGTTTTGGGTAATTTGATCAAGTTTGCACATTTAGTACGTTTTGAATACAGAAATTGAACCCAGGGTTAACTGACTCCAAAACATGTTCTTTTTATCACTATGGCATGCTTCTAGTTCAATCTACTTCCACACCTCCCATGAGCCCAGTGCCCATCCAGTGCCTTTGGATCCCTGCCGTTCTTCCCCTTTCATCCCACCATTCCTTGTACATGGATAGAGATGTGAAGACTCTTTGGCCTCTCTTAAATCTACACGGCAACAAATCATGCTTCTCAGATTCCAAGAACGAGCAGGACATTAAAGGTTTGGAGAGGCTCATCATCTGGTCCCAACGGGCCTTTCTGGCTTGCCTTTTCATTGCTTCCCGGAGTAAGACTAATACAATATTTTTTGCCTTTCTGCTTTTTCTCATACATTTCTCTCCAAATGAAATGAACTCACACCTAGTTATCCTAATTCTACACAGCCTTCAGAGGAAAATGCAAACTGATCCCGCCCCACCCGCCCCGTCCTGGAAGTGCTGCCCCATCTCCCAGCAGAAGTCATTTCTCCTGCCTCTGCTTGGCCAGCGGCATTGACTGTTTCTTCAGGACTTATGGCCAGCTGTCTCTGTCCCATCTCCCTATGAAATTGCATACTTTTATGGGATCTGAGCATGTTTCATTGACTTGGAATGATCTCTAAAAGTGGTACATATTAAAAAATAGGACAGAGAATTAACTAAGATGTTTTTTCTGACTCCTGGGATGAGTCTGCTTGTACACAAGGGGGGGAAATTAAAATATTTGAAAAGGCTGTACATACTTTAGTCTAAAACTAAAGGCAGAAATGTGAGAATGTTCTGCATATTGAAATACATCTGAGCAATCCAGTTCCTTCTCACACTTCAAGCCCAGATCAATTATCAGCTCTCCTCTGCAGCCCTGATCCCCACAGGAACCTCCTCCTCTGTGTTCCCACTATTATTCTTTCTATTTCTACTGCAGTCCTTACACTGAATTCTAATCGTTTAGGAATGTAGCTGTCTCTCCCAGTCCTGTGGCAGGAGACCTCCTTTACTAGTCCCTCTTCAAGCCATGAAGAGTCTGACATGACATACTGTGACTTTTAAATAAATATTTACTGGCTGAGTAAACCAAATGAATTAAAGCCCTCACGTAAACCTTCTGAATTTGTTGAAATGGAACATATTCAGATATTATGTCCAACAATAGAGACTAAATTTTTGTCCCTCAGTTGTAAAATCTTGGCAGAATTCTTACCTACTTCTTTTATTGTAGTAAAACATTCATATTTTTCATCTTAACCAGTCACAATTATACAATTCCATAACATTAAATACATTTATAATGTTATGTAACCAATCACCTCTATATCTAAAATTTTTTCATCATCATCCCCATAAAAAATATAATGTAGCCCTTAAAGAATAACCCCTATACAGTCCCTTGTAACCTTTATTCTTATTTTGTGTCTCTTTAAGTTTGCCTATTCTATATCTCTTATGTGAGTAGAATCATACAGTATTTGTCCTTCTGTGTCTCACTAACTTTATTTTCTCTAATGTCTTCAAGTTGAATCTATGTTGTAGCATGTGGCAAAACTTAATTTTTTTTCAAGATTGAATGATATTCCATTATAAAAACAAACAAACAAACAAACAAACAAAAAACTCTTCTTACTGGCTTAGGTATCATTTACCTATTACAGCAAGGAAAAGTCAGTTGTCTATGTTTGAAAATACAGTACTTAAAAATTTTTTTAATACAACATCAAAGATAACATTTGAAAGTATAGAAAGTTTGTTTCTATTTAGATAAACCTCTCATTTCATTAAACACTAGAGGCCCAGGGCATGAATTCATGCATGAGTGGGGTCCCTCAGGGTGCCCTACAGGAATAGGGCTCCAGCTCACACCCCCAAGCTCACAGCCCTGCAGCCCCATCTGGCAGCCCACCGTGGCTTGGTGCCATCTCCTCACCTACTCCACCATCCTGCCTGTGGAGGGACTGGTGAGGGGATGGGTTGCACCTGATTTGGCCTGGCTCCACCTGCTCATCTGCTCGACCATTCCACCGAGGTCCCACTCTCATTAGGGCTCATGGGGGCCCATTGGAGCTGGCAGCACTTCCACTGCTGCCCACCGCCAGCACCACATCGCCGATGCCCACCATGTTCCATACTGCCTGCTGGTGGCCAGTGCACATCATAGCGAGCAATTTAACTCCCAGTTAAACAACTTGCATATTGGGCTTTTATTATATCTATACTAATAATAGAGGGATATGTGAATTGTCTGGGATGACATCACAGTAACAGAAGACTGAACAGAAGACTGTATGTGGCAACCAGGCCAGCAGAGGGGGCATTTGGGGGTGACCAGGCTGGCAGTGGGGGGTGACCAGGCCATCTGGGGAGGGCTGTTGGAGGCAAGATCAGTCAGGCAAGGGAGAGTATTTGGAGGCAACCAGGCTGTCAGGGGAAAGTAATTGGGGACATGATGAGGCCGGCAGGGAAAGGAAGTTGGGGGAGACAGATTGGCAAGGGAGGGTAGAGGTAGAGACCAGGCCAGCAGGGGAGGGCAGTTGGAGATGA